TCTATAATTCATCTATCTAGAGCAAGGATTCTTTTTTAAAATTAAATTTTATTTTTTCAATTATAAAATATTTATTTTTTTCTTCCTTCCCACATTTCCCACCACTGGAAAAAAAAAAGGTAAAATCCGCATAATAAGTATGTATAGTCATGTAAATATTGGCCATGTCTCCAAATTAATAGGCCACATCCAAAACCGTATATGTCATTCTGCATATTAGCGTATTACCTCTCTGTCTAGAGGTGTGTAGTGTTCTTCATCACTGGTCCTCTGGAATCATAGAACAGTGAGTGATTCTTGACCTTTTTTTGTGTCCCCATTGGAAGTCTGGTGACACCTATGGATTCCTTCTGAGAATAATGTTTTTAAATGTGTAAAATAAAACATGAGATCATAAGCGAAATATATTGTATTGAAATAGTTATAAACATATTTTTAAAAAAGTTTATGGGCCCCAGGTTAAGAACTTCTGATCTAGGGGTATGTCTGGTTTGTTTTTTCATTTTAATTTCTTACATTTAGTGGTGGTCTTATTGAAGCAAAAATAAATTAGTTCCTAGTTGTTGCCGACAAGCTTCTCTGTCCTGATCTTACTGTAAATGTATGCAAATCAACAGATCACAAAATTCCTTCACTTTATAGAAATTAAGTTGTTCAGAGGTTTATGCCATCAAGCTTGTTTTTCAGGAACTAGGTGGAGTATGTGACTGAAAGAACTGCTTTTCATTTCCTGGAACGTGAAATTTCATTGGGAGTTCCATTTTAGTTTTTTCCTCTTCCTAATTATGTGTTGTCATTTGGGAATGTCCATTTCTTAATCACTAGACTCCACAGAAACTCAAGTTTAATGTCTATAGGATGGAAAATTGACCAGTTTTCCCTATGGGTCAAAGGATGTGAACAATTTGCATTTCTTATTTTGAAAACTGTGGACAACCAGATTTAAAAATGTACCAAATTGCTAATAAGAAGAAGGCAAATTAAAGCAGGTTTTACCTTACACCTATGAGAAGTGGAAAGATGTGAAAATTCAGTCCAATTTAAGAAGTATTTACCAACAAGTGTAAAAGTTGGAACAAGTTAATGGTGGAAGGGCTATAGGAGACAAATATGCTATGACTCTCTTGGAGTAGCTGTGAATTTTTGTTCAGTCATTCTGGACAACAACTTGGAATTGTACAAGAAAAATCACTAAACCTTTTGACCTAGCAATCTCACCAGGCATATGCCCCAAAGAGATTAAAAAACAGAAAGATCCTGTACATATGAAAACACTTATAGAAGCACTTTGTGCGGTTGTACAAAATTGGAAACAAAGTTGGTTTCATTTGATTCAGGAATAGATAAACAATTTGTGGGATGTAGATATAATGAAATAATTTTGTGTCATAAATGGGGAAATTCAGATGAACCTGAGAAAGCTCACATGAATCAATGCACAGTGAAGAAAGTGCCACCATAAAATGATATAAACAACTACAAGAATGTAAATGAGTACTAAAATGGGGGAAGGTAATAGGCATTTATTAAGCACCTACTATGTACCAGGCACTGTGTTAACAACTCTCCAAAGACCTCATATTGAATTTAAATAATGAAAGTTGATTTTTCTATATTACAATTTAAAAAAAGAATTATTTATTTCCTTTTGTCCCATTAAAATACATAAGAACAAAAACATAGGCACAGGTATCCATATAGAAGTATTTGGAAGCATGTCCCAGACATCTGTCTTGGTCAGAGGCAGGTGAATTTGGATTAATTGCAATGATTTGTGTTGGTATAGAAGAACAGATGCCCAAACTCCCTTTTCTACTCTTGGGAGAAAGGTGGGAGGACTATAAAGGCAGAATGCTATATGTTATCAGATGTGATCACTTGATGAGTTGTTTTGTTTAATTGTATTTCTTTGTTACAGGGGAGAATTCCAATGGGGAATCTTCACGGGAATAGCCCCATTTGGGGGGGGGGGTGTATCAGGAAATAATTTTAATATAAAAACATAATGCAAAATTATAAATTAAAATAAATATAAAATTAAAAAAGTGATAGATCTCTAGGATTAAATAATAGGTGGGTTTCATGAAAATACAAACTACTTGTGTCAAACCCTTATTCCAGGAACAGGCAAGTTTTTTCAACAGAGGACCATATGATCAGAAATCCACAAATGTTTGGGGCCTGTGCTTTTATAATAATGACTAATATAAATCTGCTACTATGACACAGATGGCAGTAAGGCTTCTAATTTAAATACACTAGGCAATCAGGTTTTTAAAAATGGGAGGGGAGGGAATCTTTGGCCAACTTCATTCTAAAGTCATTTAGACTTTGAAATCTACTAAAAATTGGAAGAAAAATCAGGCCTCTTAATTCGAGAGACTTGAATAGAAATTCCCTCTGAAATCCCTTACAAATGACCATTCAACTTTGGTTTGAGGATTTTTGGTAATATGAAACAACCTACCTCCCAAGACAGCCTATACCACTCTTCATAGAAAGGTTTTTTTTTTCCCTTACATTGAGCCAAAATGTCCTGAAGCAACTTCTATCCATTGCCACTCATTTTGCCTTTGAGGGCTTTTCCCCTCTTCCTTGTGGCAGTCCTTCAAATATTTTGTCCCAATAAGCCTTCTCCATGTTGAAGACCCTAGTTATTCAAATGGTCATCATATGACAGTCTCCAGTTCCCCTAACATCCTTGTCATTTCCTCTGGATACCCTCTAATCTGTCTGTGTCTTTCCTAAAATGTTATACATAATTCTTCAGGTGGGATCTGACCAGGGCCCAGGATAACTAGACTATAATACCTCTAGTTCTGGATATTTTGACTTTATTAATGCTTTTTTTTTGCTGCCATGTTGATTTATAGTAAACTTGCAGTCCACTGAAACTCCTAGATATTTTTCACGTAAATTGTCATCAGTGCACACTTTCCCTATCCTGTATTTGTGATGTTGAATTTTAAAAATTCAAGTAATAAAAAGTTAGATTTTCTTTTATTAGATTCAACCTATTGTTCTAGCCTACTGAAATTTTTTTGGATCCTATTATCTAGTGTATTAGCTATCCTTCCAATTTTCATGACACTAGCAAGTTTAATAAGAATGCTATATATGCCTTCAATTAATAAAAATATTAAATTTCATAGGACCAAGAACAAATTCCCTGGGACATGCCACTAGAAAGCTCTCTTGATATTTGTGTCTTAATATTCTCATTCATGTATATTTCTAATGAGGGAAGGGGAAGGAGGGGACGAAATAGAAAATTCTTTTTTAAAAGTTTATAATTTAGAAAAAATCAATTTAAATTATTTTAATTAAAAATTTGTGGTAGAAAGAATATGATCTCAAGATATATGCAAATCAAAGTTATAGAATTTAATAGAAAATATTTGTGTTAGTGGGGCTAGCATGGGAAAAATATTAAATAGACAATTTTGTCTTCTGTGGTTTTTGAAAGCTTCCTCTACCAAATCCTATTCTCAGATCATTGATCCCGTAAGGGATAAACCATTGATGATATTTTAACGTGATACAGTATATAGGGCATTGGATTTGGAATCAAGAAGATCTGGGTTCTAGTCCTGCCTTAAAAACTGACTTTCTATACCTCCCAATGTATCCCTCCCCTTCCTAGAGGACTATTCCTTAAAATAAAGAAGAAAAAGAGAAACCAGTTCAGCAAAACTAAACAACATATCAAAAAGTTTGATATTATGTGGAGATATTATATCCATAGTCTTATAACTAAGCAAAAGTGGGGCCCTCTCAGAACTCTTCTTTGGGGATAGTTCGCTAATTATGTTTGTCAGTTTTGTCATATTCAGATTGATGGCAAACTCCTTGAAGATAGGGACTTAGGTGGCCCTATTAAACAAGTCATCTCCCTCCTCTAGACCTCAGCTTCCACATCTGTGAAATGAGGATGGGGTGAGGTGGACTACATGTTTTTTCAAGTCTTTACAAGCTTGAAATCTGATTTTGTTACTACCTTACCCTTCTTTTGTATCTGTTATAGGACCTGGCAGAATATTGGGCACATTGTGTTTCATATTCAGTGGATCTCTGAGATTATAGAAAGCAAGTTAAGCAAATCCAACCCTGTAAGCACTATGGTCATTCCAGTGGTGTTAGGAGGACAGCTAGTTGGGCTTGACAGGCTCCTGAGTAGATGTCATAATTAGGAGATTTATGGGGATAGTAAGGATTATACTACTGAGGAATTGAGATAAGAGGCCTTGACATTTTCATGCAGAGAAATCAGAGAAAGAACAGTTTAGTGTAGTAGATAGGGCACCAGACTTGGAATCAGGAGGGCCTGGGTTCAAATCCTACCTCAGATACTTAATAACTTTGTGAACCAGGGCAAGTCACATTAACTTCTCTGTGCCTTAATTTCCTCATTTCTAAAATGAGGAGGTTGGAATTGATAACTTCTAAGGGTCACTCTGGCTCTAAATCTGTGATGCTATATTTGCCTCAATAACCTCATTGAGTGCCGTGGGAGAGATATTGGTTGGAGTGAGAATGGCATATGTGAGGGCAGCTAGGTGACTCCATGGATGGAGCACTGAACCTGGAGTCAGGAAGACTCATCTTCCTGAGTTCAAATCTGACCTCAGACACTTATTTGCTGTATGACCCTGGGCAAGTCACTTCACCCTGTTTGCCTCAGTTTCCTCATATGTCAAATAAGATGGAGAAGGAAATGGCAAACCACTGTAGTATCTTCACCAAGAAAACCCCAAATGGGGTCACAAAGAGCTGGACATGACTGAAAGACTGAACAACAACAAGAAGTATATGTGATTTGGATTGAGGATTTGTTTTGTTTTGTTTTGTTCTTAAGGGTAAATGTCAGAAAAGGAGAATATGAATAAGAATGAATGTTTTCCCTGCAGTTTCACTATTTACTTAATTTACTTTATTTCTACTATTTACTTTTTGTATTTTTACTATAGTATTTTTACCATTTACTTTTTTCTTTTTTGTAGTATCCTGATTTAGTCAATGGAGAATCGACCAAGAAACTCCCCCAAGGTGTGGTTTATGGTGTGGTTCGAAGATCTGACCAAAACCAACAGAAAGAAATGGTGGTATATGGTTGGTCCACTAATCAGCTGAAAGAGGAAATGAACTACATCAAGGATGTGAGATACTTTAAAGATTATTTTTTTTCTGGCTCTTGTTCCTTTCTGGAGTCCACTGATAGATTGCAGTATGTCATTTAAGAAGATTATCAGTTCTTTTTGTTAGAGAATGTTCTCTAAGTCTTCATGTTATTGTCATGGCCAAAGCACAGAGGTGGTTCTCATAGCATAATGTTAGCCTTTGGCAGACTCCAGGTGAGACATTGTACTTAAGGAATTGTCCTAAGAGATTTTTCCTGTTATCCCGAACAGCTCTTAGAAACAATGACTAAAGGGACACCATTCCTTTCTTTGGGTTTCCCTGGAGCGTTTTCCTTCATCAAATATAACTGAGACTGTGTCTGGGACATGTATGATCCCATGGTCAACACTATAGATTGGTAACGAATAGGAAATAGAAGCTACTTTGATTTGCCTCAGGTTTTTTAATTTAATTTTTCTGAGAAGGATGCATTTGTTTGCTCTCTTGTTGAGCTTGACTGAGTAGCATTATTTTCTGTTTGTCACTGGAGAAAAGTCATACATGCCTTGCCTCCCAGGTAAGTCACTTAACTTCTCAGTCTAAATAATTTCTGAATCTGTAAAATGGAAAAATAACAGCACTTAACTCTTGTGAGGATTAGAGGAGATGTGTATAAAGCACTTTGCAAACTTTAATGAGCTATATATTTAATGCACCCACTGGTGTTATTATTGGAACTCATACAAAGGACCTTCACACACTGGATTTTTTTTTTAGAAGAAATACTACTTTTACTTATTCAAGTCACCTAAATATCTCAGAATTTCTTTTCAAATATTCAGAGCAGTATGAAAGAGAAGGGCTGAAAATCAAATCAAAGGTCACAGGAAACCATTTAATGTATGAAGCTGAACACAGCTGGCAAGATTGATTCAGAACTGCCAACATCAAAACACACTAGTCCATTATGATCTTCCATGTCATAACAAATCAAAATTAATTTTCTTATCAGAACTGATAACATTCTGTCTATCCACCTAAGTTCAAATTCAGGTTCAAAGTCAGTGTTGACTAACCTCTTGTTTAGTCATTCTGAAATAAGAGTAAGGGTTGCTATACTTTTGATTGCCTTGTGAGCCTCTAAAAATCACTTTTTAAAAAAATATTTTGTAATAGAAAGATCTGCCTTCTCTCCGTCCCAGCTCAAACAAAACCTCTGTTATAGACATGTATAGCCAAGCAAAACAAATATCTGCATTGACTGTGTCTAAAAAATTATGTCTTGATTTCCACTCCATCACATTTCTATCAGAAGATGGGTAGCTTTTTCATCATGAGCCCTCTGGAATTGAAGTTGGTCATTGTGATGATCAGAGTTTCTAAGTCTTTCAAAGTTAAAATTACTTTTTACTCCCTACCTAACTTCCCCCCTAAATAAGCCAGTTGGGACAAGGGGGATATTAAAGGTTGCCACAATACCCTAACAGTGAAAGATCTTCCTTTTCTATCAAATGGAAGGCTATGCTTTTGTCCGTATTTTCCCATGGCACTTTTTGTTATGGATGAGACAATAGACTTTGGCAGTGCGTAATTCCCCCTCTTATCAAATAAGCAAGAATAAGTGAGAGCTGATGGAATGAAAATGCCTAAGGTATATTACCAGGTTACATATGAGATCTTCTAGGCTTCCTTTTCTAAGCTGTCTTTTCCTTAGGAATGTCTTATGTTAGGGCTGCCCATCAGTGTGGTTTCTTAAAATGTTTGCATTATCTTTAATTAGCATCTCTCTTGGGCTGCAGGTGAGAGCAACATTAGAAAAAGTCAGACAACAAATATATGGGAACTACGATGAAATGAGGCAGAAAATTCAACTCCTTACCAAAGAATTGAGAGTAAGTAAAGGTCCCATTCATTTGAAAATGTGGAGAGATGATCAGAATGTAAATAATTTTCAAAGGAAAGATACATGTTTGTATGTATGCACATGTGTATGCAGGCTTCATTTTAAGCAAAGATAGGTGTCTGAAAAGTTTTGGGGCTATCAATATTTGTGAATTGAAATGTGTTTTAAGATATACTAGAGGAGGTTATTTATAAGAAATGATCAACTAATCTTTTTGAAGTAGGAATCATAATAATTTATTGCTTTTTTAAGTCCCAAATGTTAAATATTTGCTTTTCTTAACCTAGGGCTCACCTTTGTGTGTGACTGAAGCCAAGTAAAGAAGAACCAATATCCTCTAACATTCTATGGAGATTCAACATCTTAATGAAAGGTGTTGATATATAAATATTTTGGGAAATTGGATAGTAAAATTCCAACATACCTATGGAAAGCTGAACTCTACATTCACTCATAGTCACTAAATCCCTGTAATAGGGGCAAAAAACTTAGTGTAAACAAAAAAATGATTTGAATGATAATAGAAACACATGCAAAACTCTTAACATTTGTACATGATCTGTTTCTTTGTTCACCTTCTTCCCTTCTCTGTGACTACACCACCACTACTATCATCATCATCACCACTACTCTTAGCTTTACCATGCCTGTTTGAACTAAAACACCTCTTTCAAGAGGCCTTCCCTAACTACTCCAGTCTATAATGAGATCAGTGTCACAAAATTTTGTCCATAGTCATGTATGATCTAAATTATTTGCTAATTGTTTCAAGTGTGTTAGTCTTGCCAGCAAAAACATTGGCATGGTAGATAGAGCCCTGAACCTGGACTTCTGTTCAAATCTGGCCTCAGACATTTACTAGCTGTGTGACCTTGGGCAAGTCACTTAGCCTCTGTCTGCCTCAGTTTTTAGTATCTGTAAAATGGGGGTAATAATAGCACATACCTCCCAGGGTTTTTGTGAGGATAAAATGAGAAAATATTTTTAAAGAACTTGAATGCTATCATTATCATCATTATCACTAATAGTCGCATTACAACTAGTAGTATTAGTAGTAGAGAAGAGTCAGTCAACAATTGTCATTAAATTTTGATGGTGGTAATGACAAAAACAAATAGTTTAGAATAAGACTCTAATAATATAATATTTGTGATGTTACTACCATTAAAATTTAATGACAAAAGAAGGAAGCAGTGGGGTTCACCATGCATCAGTAAAACGAAGTGTTATTAAAATAGAACCATATTATACCATAGGTCAAATCACATCCCTTGCCAAATATAACTAAATGTGGTAAAAGCGGGGCACATGTTATGCAAGATCAATCAACATTTGATAAATTAGTTAATGAATTTGCTCATTGCCTTTCTCTGTTATGGGAATTAGCCTGTTTTTGGACTCAACTATGATCTCTCTATGTTATATATGTATAGTTTATATGGGGCCCTTTGGAGAAAGTAGCTGGTCTTAGTGACTTTCTTGGGTTCTTTTATTTGTTTATTATTATTAATATTATTTATTTATCTTATTTGTAGGCTGGCTTTCCCCTCCCTTTAGAGAATGGGACATGGATTAATGAGAACACTAGACAGTTTATTCTGCTAAATGATATCATTCGGATCCTGGGTCCTTGGGAGAATTTAATGGAAGGGCTTTGTTCTAGCATATCCTTACCTTGCCTACTTGAACATTGGTTTTGCCCAGTGTTTGTGATGTTACTAAGTGTGTAGGGGTATCAGGATACAAAAAAGGCACTCTAGCTTTCTTGGAGGACTTTAAAAGTACATGTAAGAGGAGCATCTGAGACCAAAGTTAAGAACATTCTTTTGATTTAAAGACTGACCATCCTCTAAATGAATTAGCAAACCAGGGCAGTGAGCATCTTCTCTAATCTCCTATATCTGAACAAACTGGTCATTGTTTGAGAAGTGCATCATATTTTATGTTTTTACTTTATTGGATATATACAGCCTCTGAAGTTCTATTCTCTTGATTATCTGGTTGTTGCTTTTGAACACATTCTATGGAATCTTGATGAATTTGTTTAGTACATATGAGGCAACTGAGTTGAGGGTCTATCTACGTGTGTGGGTTTTGCATAACTATCTCTTCCTTCCGTTCAGGTTTCCAGTGCTCAACAGGACTATCTACAGAATCACATCGACACACAGTCTTCAGCCTTGGATAGTTTTAATGACATGAACTCCTCTTTGGTTTCAGACTCCATTGGCCTACAGGTATGTTATTGTACACTCCTCTTTCACAATGCTTCAGGATGGCCACATTCCAGCTTTCTAGAAAGGCTTGAAAATGAGCCTTGAAGGCACATTTCAAGTGGAGAATCTTATTCTAAACTATTTGTTGTTACTGCCATCAAAATTTAATGACAAAAGAAGAAAATAGTTCACCATGCATCAGTAACACGAAGCATTATAGAATCCCATTACACCCTGGGTCAAACCACATCCCTTGCCAAATATAACTGAATATGGTAAAAGTTGCATATGACATAGTAGTGGCATCCTCCAATATCAGTGTTACAAAGGATTTCTCTACTTCATTACAGATAAGCAAAATCTAAGTGAGGACAAGATATTTAATTTATAGAAAAGTATAAATGAACAAAGGAATAAAAGAATGAATAAATGAAAAAGCATTGATTATGTGCTTGCTGTGTGCTAGGCACTGTGCTAAGCGCTAAGGTTACAAATAGAAAAAAGACAACAGTTCCTACCCTCAAGGAGCTTACATTCTAATAGGAGGAAAAAAAAAACACATAGAGGGAAGTGGTGTCCAGGGCTGGGTGTTTTGGTTGGAGATTTACAGAAATGGTGGGTGGAGTTGTAGAGCAATGGATGGATATGTCCTTTCTATAAATGGTAGTGTTGATTTGCTACTGTTCCTAGAGCAAGAGGTGGAAAGCAGTGAAAGAGAGTGCATATATAAGGTGCCATAATAGGGATAATGGCCAATGATAAATGGTCTGTTTCATAGTGGGTCTGAGGACATTTCAATACATTGAACACTCATTGATCAGCAGTAGAGAGCCCCAGGTCAAGAGACAGAATACCACTTTGGAAGTGGATGGTGGCAAACTGAAAGGCTTTCTGCTTCCATTGTGACTATTATTAATATCAAATACATGTATGACCAAAAAGGAGATGGGTTTGTCACATGGTAGGAACAAGGGATAATCAAGACCCAGCCTGTATTCTATGCTGCTATCCTTACAATGGCAAGAGAAAGAGAAGAAGATCCCCAATGTGTTGGAGAGAACTTCCTGTGGCAAACTAATGGGCCAGAATCACAAATGGTGGGTAGGCAAAGGTCTGTGTCATTGGAAGAAATAGCTAGGTCAGGGAGACCACAGGTCCATTTGTAAAATAGAAATCATAAATAATAATATCATACTTCACCATTTACAAAGCCCATTCCTATTCACTATCTCATTTGATAACACTCACAGCAACTCCAAGAGGTAGGTAAAGCAGATATTATTACCATTTTACTGATGAGGAAATAGAGGTTCAGAAAATATTATAAATCTAGTGCTCTTTCCCATCCCATGTAGCTTCCATTAATTCATTTAGAAATCATTGATGTAGGAAGCCAGGGGCCACCTGCATGTCAGTGTGAGACACAGACCCTAACTGCAGCAGAAAATCAAAGTTACACTGACAACAAAGCTGGTCATAACACGTCTGACGACTGGTCTCGGTGAACCTCCTCTTGTATTTGGGTTTAGCTGGGATGACTGCTGATTGGAGTACCAGTTATAAAGATGTAGGCCCATAGATGATTAGAGCTGGAGGCCCTGAGTGATTATCTCATCCAACCCCCTTATTTTGCAGCTGAGGGAACAGAGACCCTGAGAGGAGAATTGACTCACTTGAGGAGGCTATGTAGTGATATAGTGGCAAAGTTGGCAGTATAGCCCAGGTCTTCTGATCTCCCAGTCCCCAGATTTTTGTACTTAAATAATTTAAAAAGATGCCAAGAGATGGCTGTACCTTCCCCAGAGAGCCAGTATTGAACCCCTCCCTTATAAAATGATGAGGATGAGCCTTCTGTCACTAGTTATATCTGTAGACACTGATCAAGTGGCTCATGGGATGAGGTTTCTGGCATCAATATCTCAGTTGGTTTTCTCATGGCTTTCTCACCAATGGGGTGAGGGATGGAATCAAGTGTGACCCTCAGCTGAAAGACTTTGATAGTTATTTAAATGACTTTATGGAAAAAATGGAGAAGGAAAGGGCAAACCACTGCAATATCTTTGCCAAGAAAACCCCAAATGGGGTCACAAAGAGTGAGACACACTGAAACAACGGAGCAAACAAGAATGGAAGAAGAATTTGGAAATAAGGGTGTTGCATGTCTCTATGTTCCTTCTGAGTCCTTCTGGAAAACTTAATTTCCCTCCTGGGCATAGACTGAGGGAATTTCCAGGGTGAGCACTGGTTTGTTAACTCACCTCCATATTTTCCCTCCACATTTTCCCTCCTCCGTACCTTTATACTTGGAAAATAAGGCTTCTTTTACCTTCCCAGAATGCATTTAACCACCTGGCAGCTGAGGTGGTCAGCTTGACTGAGTTTTAGAGTTATTCTATGGTGAGCTTAGATGTGCTTATCTTTTTAAAAAAATAATATTTTATTTTCCCCAATTACATGCAAAAGGAATTTTTAACACTTAAAAAAAATTTTGAGCTCCAAATTCTCTCTCTCCTTCTTTCTTCTTCCTCCTCCCTGAAACAGTAAGCAATTTGATATAGGTTATACATGTATAACCATGTAAAACATTTCCATATGAGTCATTTTGTAGAAGAAAACTTGAAGAAGGAGAGACAGAGAGAGAGAGAGAGAGAGAGAGAGAGAGAGAGAGATAACAAGAATGGATGCTTTGGTCTGTATTCAGATGCCATCACTTCTTTCTCTGGAGGTCCACAGCATTTTTCATCATGAGTCCTTTGGGATTGTCTTGGATCATTGTGTTGCTGAGAATAGCTAAGTCATTCACAATTGCTCATTGTACATTACTGATGTTATTGTCTGTGTATAACGTTCTCCTGGTTTTGCTCATTTCATTCTGTATCAGTTCAAATAAGTCTTTCCAGGTTTTTCTGAAATCATCCTGCTTGTCATTTCTTATAGCACAATAATATTCCATTACAATAATATACCATAACCTGTTCAGCCATTACCCAATTAATGGGCATCCTCAATTTCCTATTCTTAGCTACCACAAAAAGAGCTTCTATAAATATTTTTATACAAATAGGTCCTTTTCCCTTTTTTGGGGGGGAGGAATGTACTCGTCTTTTATCAGATTCCCTGGTTGCTAGGATTTGACATCTCAGTCTTTTTCTTCTTTTTTTTTTTTTTACATTTTTTTTCTTTTTTAGGCAATTGAGGTTAAGTGACTTGCCCAGGGTCACACAGCTAGTAAGTGTCAAGTGTTTGGTCTGAAGCTAGATTTGAACTCAGGTCCTCCTGACTTCAGGGCCGGTGCTCTATCCACTGCGCCACCTAGCTGCCCCAGTCTTTTGCTTCTGAGAGGCACGTTTTTATTTAAACAACTGGGTAAACTTCACAATCTTTCCATCTTGACCTTGTGTATAGCCAACTTCAAATTGCTGTTCAGTCATTTCTATTGTGTCCAACTCTTTGTGACCCCATTTGGGTACTGAAGATGGTTTACTATTTCCTTTTCCATCTCATTTTACAAATAAGGAAACTGAGGCAAACAGAGTTAAGTGACATGTCCAGGGTCACACAGCCAGTAAATGTCTGAAGCCAGATTTTAACTCAGGAAGATGCTCAGACAAACTGAGGCCTGGGAAAGACCTTAATTTAGAAAGGCCAAGATCACTCACTATATCTCTGGTGATCATCAGTTGTCTTGACTTATATCTTGTCACTGGACTTCAATGACTCTGGAGGAGAGAGTCAGACTGATGACTTTGCACAGCTCTGTCTCACTCAAATCCAATTCAAGCATACAAAGAGGCCTTAGAGTGGTAGGCTTCCAAGGACCTTAGTCATCTACTCTAATCCCCTCATCTTGCAGATGAAGAAACTGAGGACTACAGAGGTGAAGTGATTTGCTCAGGTTTCACAGGTTGTATGTGGAAAAGTAAAGATTTGAACCCAGGTCCTATGACCCTGAATCCAGAGGTCTTTCCATAGCACCATACCACCATCCAAGCTCAACATTACTTCATGTTTTTAGCTATTCCACATACCTCATTGTAAGATTTCAGTTCAGCAAATATTTTTGAAGCATCAGGGGATGTGGTAAGTACTAAGGATACAGAGATAGATACAACGACCACCTTGCTATTGAGGAACTTACAATCTAATGGAAATGGGGGCATGTAGGTATTCAAATAAATGTGATATAGTGGAAGTTGCAAATGTTCAAAGAGGAGGTTTATCAGACATATGAGGATAGATAGATTACTTTTAGGTATGCAGGGGGATGGAAAAGGATTGTGGAATCCTGGTTCTAGAGTTGGAAAAGACCTCAGATGCCATCTATCCTAACTCCCTTATTTTATAGATAAAGACAGTAGGGCCCTGGGTAATAAAATGACTCAGTTAGGTAATAAAGTGTGACAGGTAAGGCTTCATGGAGGATGTGGTACCTGATTTGGGTCTTAAAGCAAGGGATGATCTTTAACAGATGAAGATGGAAGAGGAGTCCATTCCAAGCATAGATATTTCATATAGTCACTATATACTCTAATGAGGAATCCTGTCCTCTGCTTAGAGAAACAAGGAGGTAAAAGGCTTATTATCATTATTTAAATAAGGATTTAGAAATGAAGGAGCCCCAGAGATTAAATTCTCCTCTTGCTACAGAGTCAGCAAAGGTCTTGGGATACTGTTTCAAAGGATAGGGTTTCCAGATGTTCGCATTTGAAATGGCATGCAACTTGGGTGGGGGTGGGGGTGGGGGTGTGTGGGAGGTGAGAGAAGACAACTATAAACACAGTGTCTAGCAGTGGGAGTTCTGGATTTTAATGACCTCACTCTTCTGGAGTCCTAAAAGAATAAACCAAACACAAATTGCAGTCATAAAAAGCTGCAGGCATTTAAAACATTCTTGCTGATGGGCACCCCCTGGCCATTATCAAAGGCATTTGTTAAGCACCTGTCTGTGCATAGCACCATGGTTAAGTGCTATAAACTACATTGAAAGTCCATGGTCCTCTAGTTTTACCAGCTCCTCCCTCCCACTCCTGGGCTAGAATGAGAAGGAGCCACTAGGGAAGAGATTACTTGTGAAACTGACATTTCATTGGAATCAACTGAGCCACTTCTTCCCTTCTCCTCCATATTGCCCTGAAGGACAAAAGTGACCACCCTTTTCAGGTAAGAGAGAAAGATTCCATTTTTTAGATTCCTCTTTAGCCAGCATCCATGGTACAGGCCCCATGGGAAAGGTGTAGGTGGCTGCAATGGAGGAGTTTAGGTGGTAGGCAGATTAGAGCCACCAGATAATTTGGCAGTAATGAGAACCCATACCCCTATAATGGTGACAAAGGCTCCCAGATGGACTGGGTTTCCAGGGTGTGAATAGGCAGGGTGATTTGTTGTTCCCCATATTGGCTGCATACTGGGTTATCTTAGCATGCTCCAGGGTGAGGCAAGGGACATAAGGATATTCTAGGCTACAGCTTTGGTGAAGGTTTTATGAAATCCCTTGGCCCTCTCTTCACATGTGGTTTCTGTATGTCTTTTTTTTTTTAAGGCAATTGGGGTTAAGTGACTTGCCCAGGGTCACATGGCTAGTAAGTGTCAAGTGTTTGGTCTGAGGCCGGATTTGAACTCAGGTCCTCCTGATTTCAGGGCCAGTGCTCTATCCACTGCGCCACCTAGCTGCCCCGTCTGTATGTCTTTATGGTGATCAGTCAGTAATGGGATGTCTCAAAATGCATTCTCATTTTTGTCCCGGCAGAAAATATTGGTGGATGTTACCTTGGAAAACAGTACCATTAAGGACCAGATCAGAAATTTACAGCATACATATGAAGAATCTATGGAAAAACTGAGGGAAAAGCAGAGACAGTTAGAGGCGGCTCAGGTTGAAAACCAGCTTTTGAAACTGAAGGTAAAGTAAATGAAATTTAAGTCCTTTGTCAGGTTTCTTTTCCTAATTTCTATTTCTTTAATTTCTTCTTTCCTTTTCAGTTCCCTTTTCTTTTGTCTTCTTCCCACTTTTTCTTTCTACCTCTTTCTCCTTCCGTTATTTCTTTTCACATTCATTGTTAATAGTCCAGAAGACTAAAATTGAAGGTATTCTCTAGATGATCTAGAAAATGTTTGAGCATGTTACTGTTGTCTCCAGTGCCGTCCAAGTACTGAAGCCAATCAATATTAACCATATTCCATTCTCATATACACTCTTAACAAGGCAGCTAGTGGCACAGTGGATGAAGCACTGGGACTGAAGTCAGGAAGATCTGAGTTCAAATCTTCACAAAGACACATTCTAGCTATGCAATCCAGGCAAGTCACTTAACCTGTTTTTGCCTCAGTTTCCTCATCTGTAAAATGGGGATAATAATAGCACCTACTTTGGAAAGCCGTTCTGAAGATCAAATAAGATAATATTTGTAAAAGCACTTAGCATAGTGCCTGGCACATAGTAGGTGCTATATAAATGTGTATTCCCTTCTTTTCACCTACCCCCTAAGTGTTGCAAGAACTGTTCAGACAGGTTATACCCTTGTTCTGTGCAAACAGGCAAGGTTATTTACTGTTAGTCAATTAACACTTATTAAGTGCCTACAGTACACAGTCCCAGGCACTGTCCTAGGTGCTAGGGATACAAAGAAAGGCAAAAAAGATCCCCCACCCTCAAGGAACTCACAATACAATGAGGGGGAGAGAGAGGGAGAAGGAGAGAAAACAAGATATATGCAGATTACATTGGTGAGTAATCTCAAAGGGAAGGCACTAATCTTAAGTAGAAATGGGAAAGGCTTCTTCAGAAGGGGAGACTTTAGCTGAGACTTGAAGGAAACCAGAGAAGCTCAGAGGCAGAGATGAGGGAAGGTATTCTAGGCACAGGGTATAATCATTGAAAATGCTTGGATACTAGCTGTGTGACCTGGGCAAGTCACTTAACCCTGATTGCTTAAAAAAAATTTTAAAAATGCTTGAAGTTGGTAGATGGAAAGTGTTATACAAGAAATAACAAGGAGGTCAGTGTTATTGCATCTTAGAGTAAATGCGTGGGAATAAGGTGAAGGTAGGAAGGGGCCATGCTATGAAGGGCTTTAAAGGCCAACAGAGGGTTTTATATTTGATCCTGGAGGTTACAGGGAGCCATTGGAGTTTACTGAATAGAGGGCTGATATGGTCCAATCTGTGATTTAGGAGGATCAATGTCTGAGCAGAAGTAGAGGACAGGTTGGAGTGTGGAAAGACTTGAGGCTGGAGACCAACTAGGAGGCAATAGTCCAGGTTTGAAGTGATGCAGGCTTGTGCCAGGTGGTGGCAGAGCCAGAGGAGAGGAGAAATATGAGAGATGTTCCAAAGGCAGGAATGACAGGATTTGACAACTGATTGTACATAGGGGGTGGGGATGGGGGAAGACAGAGAGAGAGAGAGACAGAGATAGAGACAGAGACAGGGGAGGGGGTGTACAGGATGACACCTAGGTTGTGTGTTGACTGTAACTTTAATAGTTTTGGAACACAGATGTGTTCAAGCTTTACCAAGAATTATCCTAGGAGCCCACAGAATAACCCCAAAGCCCCTCTAGTCTGATTTTACAGCAAAAAAGATAATTGTGGTGTTCCCCAAGTTTTTCAGTCCTAGCTAGGGCAGGGGGTCCCTTGGCAGTGATGAGTCTATTTTACAAGAAAGAGAGGATGTACAGAGAGAGGACATATATAGAGGCTGCCTTCTTACTAGGACAACCAATCTTGCCCTCATCCTGGCACCATGAAGAAAAATGTAAGAGCATTCTCTAGAGTAGAGGTTCTTAACCTGGTATCTATAAATTTTTTAAAAAATTGAAAAATATATTTTAATAGAATTGGTTTCTTTTCTAATCTTGTGTATTTTATTTTATCTGTTAAAAAACATTATTCCAAGAAGGGATTCATAGATTTATCAGACTGCCAAAGTGGTCCATGACACACAGAAAGTTTGAGAATTCTTGACCTAGACCTAGAGAATATATATATTCCTACTGTAACTACTAGGCATGACTGTGTAGATAAAAGTTTGACTAGGCACTGAAACTTTCTTGAGCCATGTCATTCTCCTCTGACTGCTGGAGGCTAAAATTTTCCCCCTGGCACTTTACACCTATACCTTGCTATAATAACAAGTTCATTTTCTAGCCTAGGGGGTAAAATGACTTTAAATTCCATGTGGATCTCTTTATCTGCTATTTCAGGGAGCTTAAACAAATGTTAGTTATTAATAAAAAAATCACATATAACTTTTTTATTTGCCTCTAGATCAGTATGAAATTCTGATCAGTTGAATCTACTGACCTATTTTATAATTGTCACATACAATAGCTACACATTCGTGCCATATATGCATTCATGCTTTTTAAATGAAATAAAAATCAGGATAAGAAACAACTTAGATAAAGGGAAAGACAATTATATAAAATGCTTGTTGTTAGGCATAGGAAGGAGAATTTAGAAAGCTAAAAATAAAATCCTTTCAGAACTTTGTTCAGTTCTCCAAAGGGGCAGTCAGAGCCATTTGCTTTTTCTGTCCAAGTTCTTTGTTCCGTTGACCAGAACCCATGCCCTGAAGCTTAAGTTTTTGGTTCTAGAGGATGCTATGCAAAATACCTATAGGGAATCCATAGTGCTTCCCTCCATTGTCCACTTCTGCTCCACTCACCTATCTCCTTCTCCAATATGTCCTGGGCACAACTCAAGACTGTGTCCTGGATCAAAGATTACAGTAGTCCAGACCTCTCCTAGGGCTGGGAGAGAACGCTTGCCTCACTAAACTACAAATCCCAGACAAGTCTTAAGTCCCTATTACACTTCCATAGAAACATAGACTTTCAGAGTTGGAAAGGGCTTCAGATGGTCTTTCCAGTTTTGTTTGAGAACTCCAGTAATGGAACTTACTATGTCTGGAGGGTTGGCCTATTTCATTTTTGGACAGTTTTAATTGTTAAGCATTTCTTCCTTTGTGTTGTGCTGAAATGTGTCTCTATAAACTTTGACACTTTGGTCTTGGTTTTGCCCTTTTGGACCAAGCACCATAAACTTGATTGCTCTTGTACAAGGTAATTCTGAAAATACCTGAAGATAGCTATCTTAGTCCTGCCATCCCTGATTCCGGCCAGTCTCCTCTTCTCCAGACTAAGAATTCTCATATCTTTAAATTACTCCTTGAGTGGCATGATTTTAGTCCCCTCACCATCTTTTTGTTCTCTTCTGGATATACTACCGTTGTCAATTTCTATTCTAAAATGGAAGTCCCAGAACTTAGAAATGTGTTCTGACCATCAGAATTCAGGAAGTCATCATTTCTCTAATTATGGACATTATACTTCTGCTAATATAGCTCAAGATAGTATAGTCATTTTTTTAACTTTCCTGGGCACCAGTTCTCTATTATAGATCTGACCTTTTGGGATTCAACTTGGTGAAATTGAGCAGAGCTTTTTGTTGGCTCCCAGGGACCTGAAAGTGTTAGTGTATTTCTCAATGGCAAACAGCTCATTGCTTTCCCCATAGTACAATCTGTCCCATTCTTATTTATATCAGTCCTTTCCTCAGCCCAGGTATTCTTATTCCTGCAAAGGCCTCTAGGAGCCATGTATTAATGTTACCATGGTTCTATGAAAAAGGAATGTGGGAGAGCCTAATTAGATTAGAGATAGCTTTGATTTCAAAATGCAATTCTTAAACTTGGAAAGGAATGCTGTGAACACATTCATAAGGCATTATAAGCCTTGGCACCTGTGTTTCAATTCAATCAACATATAGTAAGCATTTACTTTGTGTTGGGGCACTGGGCTAGGAAACTTTGAGAGATGCAAACTTTTACTTGACAACTAAGAAAAAACAGAAGTATAACAACAGATGCATTTATAGAGCACAGATTTCTTTAGTGAGTGGCAAAGCCAAGATTCTAAGCTAAGTGTTTTGACTTCAAATGCAATACTTTCCCCACTATACCATGTATTTTTCTAGGTCTCAGTTTCATTGTCTATAAAATGCGGGTAATTATATTTTCACTAGCTCCTTCAAAGAGTGATGGTGAGAAAAGCATTTGCAATCTTAAAATGATGTAGAAATGTGAGCTATTAATAAAGTCTATCACAGGTTGGCTTGATGGTACAGTTCAAGAACGAATCTCTGTTAACTTGTACTTATCTCAATTCCGTAGAAGTGATTTGTGTCCCAAAGCTCCCTTTTAGTAAATCCTTGGCTCTCCTTGCAGTGGTGGGGTTTATGAATTCACCCCAATTAAAGAAAACGCTACAAAACTTTACAAAACTCATAATGCCAGTTATGCATTAGCATAATAACATGATTCCTAGAGGCTCAGGCCTTCATTATCCTCTATTGCCTCATTCTCCCTATTTGTTGAAGGGAGAGTGATTTTCCCATCTTCTGTGCTAAAAGGTCATGTACTTTTCTCACAGGAGTGCCTTCAAGTTCTTACTTAGAGCCAATTTACTTGTACTTTAGACACAAGTCCAACAGGCTTGTTTATCTGATTCCTCAGCTCACATCAGATTAGAAGCAGCAGGTTACAATGAAGGCTGTATGAGATAGGTTGGAGCCCTGAAAGGAATGAGAAATGACAACAAAGTAGAGACAATAAAACAATAATAAAATAAACCACATTTATGCAGTATTTTTAAGGTTCATAAGGCATTTTCTCCACCACAACCCTATGAGGTAGGTAGTTAAATGAATCGGAAGCACACACCTAAGTAAATGTTGGAGGCAAGACTAGAATCAACAATACTATCAAAGCAGAAAAGAGAGGGAGGACCGAGTCAACTTTAGTGGGTCCCACCGTATAGGAAATATATTTCCAATAGAAAAAAAGGTGCCCTTCCTTATTGGCATATTCCTGAACTCCAGCTTCATTCCATGTTTCTGTGAAAGATAAAAGTATACTTCTTTAGCGGTACAGGGTAGGGTGCCAGGGTGTTTAAGTATTGGCAGTCAATCAACAAACATTTATTAAGTGCCCACTATATTCAAGGCACCATGCTAGATGCTAGGTATACAAAGACAAAAGCAAAATAAACTCAAGGAGCTTACATTCTATTGGGAGAAACATATTCAATATAAATATATACAAAAAAAATAAGATAAAGGGCAGCTAGGCTGCACAGTGGATAGCCTGCTGGGCCTGGAGTCAGGAAGACCTGAGTTCAAACTGACCTCAAATGCTTACTAACTGTGTGACCTGGGCAAGTCACTTAACCCTTTTTGCCTCAGTTTCCTCATCTGTAAAATGTGCTGGAGAAGGAAATGGCAAACTAACCCCCCAAAAGGGGTCACGAAGAGTCAGATATGAGTGAAAATATGTTGAATACCAACAGAAAAGGCCCTAACAGCTAGGAAGGGGAGGTCAGGAAAAACTTTATGAAGAAAATGGTGCTTAAGTTAAACTTTGAGGAAAACTAGGGATTCCCAAAGATAGATGGAGGAGGAGGGAATACATTCCAGGGATGGGGGACAGCCTATGCAAAGTCACAGAGTTAGGAGATGGAATGTTGCATTGGCAGTCACCAATCACCACCCTATCCCAGATAAAATCTTGCCACATTCTCTAACTCCTTTGGGAATAGGAATGCCTAGAAACTAAAGAAGTTTTACAATAGTGAGGGGTTTTGTTGTTTTTTTTTGTTTGTTTGTTTTGCTTTTCTTTTTTCTATTGAAAGCCAACATAAAACATTTTTATTTGAATAATGAAACTGAAAACTCATATTGATGAAAGTGTGTGAGTGGTGGCAGTTTCTCTGTCCAAAATCACTATGTAGGACAGCAAAAAGGAGGAAGGGATGATATCAGCTCTAGGGAAGCTGATGGTCAAAACCAGGAGATTCTGAAGCTGTGATGACCAGGATCAGTTTTAGGTAGAGAATACACAAGTATTTGTTGTGACAATAACTGGGTTTTTATTGTGTTGAAATTTTCTCCAGTGAGCACCTCTGATTTACTAGTTAGTTTCTAGAATTTGGGTATGTGCAGAGCAGTGATTAATCAATTAATAAATGGTGGCACAGTGGATAGAGCACTGGATCTGGAGTCAGGAAGACTCATCTTATCTTTGCCAAGAAAACCCCAACCGGGGTCATGAAGAGTCAGACATGACTGTAAATGATTGAACAATAACAACCGATGTTTATTAAATGAATTCTATTTCAGGCCCTGTTTTATGTGCTGAGGACACATATACAAAGAATGAGACAATTTCTACTCTTGTGTTGCTTAGGAGCTCGGTTAAAATCCCACATCTTTACTCCCTTTGTGACCTCAGGCAAGTCACTTAACTTTTCTGGGCCTCAATTTCCTTGTCAATTTCCTTAAATGGACTCAATTGCCTTTCTATGTTCCTTCCACTTCTAAATCAATGATGACTTCTAGAGATTGAAAAAAATTCTCCAAAGCCAAAAGGTGGGAAAAAGTCAGGCAACCAATGAAGCAGGTTTAAGTTATAGAGTCATAGGTTTAAAGCTAGGATGGACCTCAAACATCCTCTAGTTCAACCTGTTGGTTTTATAGAGAAGTAAACTGAGGTTGCTGATCACTTGATCCTGTCACTTAACATCTATTAAGTGACTTGTCCATGATTAGATAGCTAGAAAATGTCAGGGACAGGTTATGAACTCAGGCCTTTCTGACTCCAGGTTCAACTGCTTTCAAAAGGCAGAGATTACCGGGGTAGGGGGACAGGTGGAAAAGTTGGACAGTTAGTTGAAACAAGTTTCTCTTTCCTCACATTTTTCATTTTGGACAACATTTGGCATTTCAAATATGTCAGCCCACTCAAATTTTTTAATCAACTATGTTTTTACAGCAGTAGCAAAAATATTTACCCCCTCCATAAATACTTAATAAATTTCATCCAGAAAAGGGGAAGGCAAAGATTTTCTCTATCCAAAGGATTCCTATTTTATTCCTGATTTTATTCCTATCTGCTGCTAGTGCTTCACCATATACTTAATCTTAAATCGATGCACCAAAGATTTCCTTTTAGATCTTTTTTTCCCTTCCTTTCTGAGACTGTTTCTCCCTATTTCACCCAGCCTGGAAGTACATCAGCCACTCATAGTCAGATCCATTGCTGATTGGCATGGGAGCTCTGACCTGATCCATTTTTGACCTAAGACAGTCCCCTCACCCCTCAGCTCCCAAGGGCTCATTGTATTGATGCTGGACTTAGTGTAGATATCCAATAGACTTTAGCCCACTGCAACTCAGAGCTCCCAAGATCAGGCATGTGTCACCACAAACAGCTTTCAATTTAAATCTAGACAACAAAAAGCAAAACCAAAAAGATGAACGACTTGACAAGATAAGGTTTATTTCATATTATTTAGAAATAACACAGGCACAAGGAAGAAGAGTGATAACACTAAATCAGGGTCTTGGTAAGTAAAGTGAGAATAGTGGAATATGGGGGACAGCTCCACACTCTTTCTTTCTTTCTTTCTTTCTTTCTTTCTTTCTTTCTTTCTTTCTTCCTTCCTTCCTTCCTTCCTTCCTTCCTTCCTTCCTTCCTTCCTTCCTTCCTTCCTTTTTTTTTCTTTCTTGGCAGTTGGGGTTAAGTGACTTGTCCGGGGTCGTACAGCTAGTAAGGTCAAGTGTTTGGTCTGAGGCCAGATTTGAACTCAGGTCCTCCTGACTTCAGGGCTGGTGCTTTATCCACTTTGCCACCTAGCTACCTGTGCTCCATACACTTTCATGTGCATCGTATAAAAACCTGCAACATCATGATCCAGTGAAAAAAAACAGACTATGGAGTCAGAGGACCTGAGTTCTAATCCTGTTTCTGACACTTAGTACTTCTGTGACCCTAGTTATTTAAATTTCCTGGGCACGCGCGCGTGTGCGCGCGCGTGTGTGTGTGTACAAACATACATATACACATGCATGTACATTCCTATACACATACATATTTTTTGTTGCTGTTTTCAGTCATGTTGGACTTTTTGTGACCTCATTTGGGATTTTCTTGGCAAAGATACTGGAGTGGTTTGCCATTTCTTTCTCCATCTCATTTTACAGATGAGGAAACTGAGGCAAACAAGTTAAGTGACTTGCCCAGGGTCACAGAACTAGTAAATTATAATGTTTTTTTTGTTTGTTTTTTGGCTAGGCAGTAGGGTTAAGTGACTTGCCCAGGGTCACACAGCTAGTAAGTGTTATGTGTCTGAGTTTGGATTTGAACTCAGGGCCTCCTGAATCCAGGGCCAGTCCTCTATGCACTGCACCACCTAGCTGTCCCCGTAAATTATAATGTAATGTTAATATTACATACACACATATATATATCTATACATATATATGTGTGTATATATATATATATATATACACACACACATACACGCATACACACATACATACACACACCTCTTACCTCTGGCCTTATTTCATCTGCAGATAGCATGACCCTGATGTTTCTCTCTTTTATAGGTAGAATCTTCCCAGGAAGCTAATGCTGATGTCATGAGAGAGATGACCAAGAAACTGTACAGCCAGTATGAAGAAAAACTACAGCAAGAACAGCAGAAGCACAATGCGGAGAAAGAGGCCCTCCTGGTATGTTTGGGGAGCTCCTCAAAGAACATCAAAAAGAGGTTTTTTGTTTTAATTTTGTTTTCCTCATCCTCAGGATGGTCATAATCATAGGACTATAGCATAGAAGGATTCCATTTATTTATTTGTTTCTCAAAATCTCTCAATGACTTCTCATGATCTACCAAATTAATTTCAAATTTTGTTGCCTGACATTTAAGCTCTTCCATGATATAGACATAATCTGACTTTCCAGTTTTATCTCCATAAATTAAATCTCCAGCTATATTTTCTATATGGCAAACTGAAATTTTCACTGTCCTTCAAATTCACCATGTACTTTTATTCTTCCATACTATTTTTCCCTTCTAAAATGCTCTACCCCCATGTCTCCACCTGTTAAAAACTGAACTGTTCTTTCTTGGCAGAAATGTGGCCTCCTCCATGAAGCCTTCCCCAATTACAAAAAAAAAAAACCTCCTTCCACTGGGAGGGAGATGGTACTTGTTTTATTCTGTGCTTATGTTATTATACTCTAAATAGTAATTATATGTGTGCACAGAATCAAGATCTCGAAGTGACCTTAGAATTGATTATTTTATAGATGAGGAAACAGAAATCCAGGGAGTTTAAATAACTTGGCCAAGGGTCACATACATAGGACGTGTCATAATCAGGATTTGAACTCAGGTCCCCTGATTCCAGAGTCAGCAGTCTTTCCATTCCACCATGCTGATTCCCATGTCTTCCATCCCCCCAGTACATTGTACATTTGAGAGGGCAGGGGCCATATTTTATGCATTTTTATATCTCCCATCTCTTCAGTACAATGATTTGCCAATAGTAGATGCTCAGAAAATGCTTGTTGAGTGATTGATTCATTTATTTGCTCAATCAAATGAGAATATTTGTAAAATGCTTACTAGAATGCATGGCATACAATAGGCGCTATATAAATCCTTATTCCCTTTCCTCTCCTTAATAATAAGATTTCTTCCTAAGTTTGGTAGACAGCAGTATAAGAAGGGCATCCAGGAATTCTGTAATATACTTAGGCCACTGATTTCTCTCATGGTTTTGACAGATAATGTGACTTACTGTGATTGAAAAGGGGAAGCAAACAAAACCCAGGGAGCAAATAGTTAATTGTTGAGTAATGATGGCAGGACCTATTAGATTTACTCCACCTGAGAACCATGATAATAAATGGAAAGAAGGTATTGAGATTGTTCTATTTACAAAGTTAAATAGTATCCCTCTGCATACAAGTGGGAAGAATTCCTCCTCCAAGTACTCAAACCCTGCTTAGGCTCCTTAGAACTAAGGTAAGGTGACTAGCTTCTCATCTCTACCCTTGCTGTGGTCACCGTAGAGGAAGGTATATGTCCATGTGTTATGTGGGCTCTAAATGCTAAATGATGTTATAGATTTAATGAAATAGAGAAAGGGTGTTATATTTGGAGTCTGAGGACCTGGGTTGGAATGCTGCCTCTGCCATGTGACCCTGGGCAAGTCACTGGCTTTTACTTTCCTCATCCATAAAATGAAGGGGTTGGATTTAATGGCCTCTGGGGTCCCATCTATGAGCCTATAAGTAGGACTTCTTTGCTTTCAAATAAAGTTTGAAAAAATGATCCCATTGTCGATGAGACCTGAGCTCTCCTTCATATCCCTAAAAGAAAGATGATTGAATTAGGATGGATGTCCTGGACAAACTCTGTGTGTTGAGACAAGTGTTTGTTTTGAAGGAAGAAACCAATAATTTTCTGAAAGCCATTGAGGAAGCCAATATCAAGATGCAAGCAGCTGACACCAGCCTCCAGGAGCGAGACCAGAGGATTGGGGAGCTGGACAGACTAATTGAACGTATGGAAAAGGTAGCCCTAGCATTCTCCTTTCCTCCCTTTGTCCCAAACTCTTATGCACTGTCACAACTCTCTAGACCCAAACCCTCCATCACCATTCCCCATCTCTTTCCATTTCATGACATGCAATGTAAATGTAAATGTAAAAGGTTTCCTCAACATGGTGAACATGGTGTAGTGGTGGGAGGGCAGACATGGCTGTGAATATAGGACACATTTTTATAGGAGGATGTGAACAAGCTGATGAGTAGAGAACATTCCTCTAGAGCAGTGGTTCCCAAAATGTGGTTTGGGGACCCCTAGGGATCTCTACAATGGTTCTGTGAGGTCAAAACTGTTTTCATAATAATTATGACATTTTAGTTCTAAGACAGCAAATATTGACAATTTATACATAAACAAAAGCTCTTTGGGGTCCTCAATAGTTTTTAAGAGTTTAAAGGAATACTGAAACCAAAAAGTTTGAGAATTGCTGCTCCAGAGTTGATTACTAAAGTCAGAGAAGAGAGTAGGCTAAGAGGAAGAATTGGTTAGAGGAAAGAAAAGAATGAAGAAAACAAAAGAGGAAGAAAAGAGACAAGGAAGAGGAAAGAGAAAAGAAAAGGATGGGTGAGCTTCTACTTAGTTATGTAATGGTCTGGCATATAGTAATCACTTAATAATTGCTTATTGATTGAGTAGCTTCTAATTATGTTTGATGGGCAGGACTAAAATGAATGGACAGTTGTGGTTGGATCCTCTTTGACTATTGTTGCTAAGCTTAGGTGACCTTACTGAAGCAACTGACCATAGTGACCCCTCAGAGACTTGGGAGAAAGGAAATCCCAGCATCCTTAAATACTTTTATAGAGAAAAACAGGAAGAACGAGCTGGTACTGACTATATTAAACTTAAATAGTTCTTTCCACTCCCTCAAGCGAAAATATTAGACAGTTCCATGAGGTGAAATTTGGGGCCTCAAGCAAAAATTTCAGAAGGGGTTTTGCTTTTTGTTAGCTGAAAAATTCATAGCTCTCTAGTGCTTGGGCAGGGATTAACTGAAATAGGAAATGTAGTAAATTCAGTGTTTATGGAGCCTGAGGGGTTCCTAGTGACTTTCAATAAAGTTAATGTGTGCATTTGGGGTACATGGAAGCTTACTTCAGTCTATAATAATCTGACCTGCTTTTCCCTAGGAATGTCAATTCTCTCCTGCTGAATGGCCAAATTCTCTGATAAGCTTGTTGAAAATTAAAAGTATAGGTGGAATATATGAAGGCGTCCTCCTGTCTCTCTGTAGTCATATACCTTACCCAGAGACAGTGTGGTATAGCAGAACCATCGATGGATTTGGAGTCAGAGAATCTAGGGCAAGCACAGGCAAATCATTGACCCTCTCTTGGCCTCAGTTTCTTCATCTGTAAAATGAGGGAATTGAACTAGATGGCTTGTGAGGTCCTCTAGAGCTATGATCCCTTTGTGGTATTTTCTAAATAGCTCCTGAATTGTGTGTGCTGGGGTGGGGGAGAGGTGCCTTATAATTTAGATATAGGAGGTTCTGCTATAACTGGGCATATACTTTCCCCCAAAGTACCACACTATGCAAAATAACACAATAAAAACTACAGGGTTTATGAGGAAAATGGAGCTGGGGCATGATGTTCAAAAACTCCATCAGTGAAAAAGCGATAGAAACCTAATAAAATGGTAGAAGAGGTTTATACACGTTAAATGGTTAAGAAATACAAAAATACTATGATAAATAGTGGCCTTGTCAGCAGTGGTAGCAGTAGTGACCCTCTGATGAGGCCATAGGGAAAAAGCATAGGGGTGGAGGTGGTGCAGACCAGCCTTTCTCCTCTCGTGTATCAGAAGATATGCAAGTAACATGGCACTTTACCTCAACAAACGTCTGACGTTTCCTTGTGGAAGTGGGTGTTGGAAGGGTTGTATCTTTTGAGTTCTTGTGAAGAGTGCAGTTTTCTGCATTCTCATTGTTTCTTTTTCTAAAAAAATTTTATTGATGTCTTCTATTTCTCACATCACCTTAGTAATACCAAGTATCCTTTCCCCTCCAGAGAATCATGCCATATTCGTTGTTGTTTAGTTGTTCAGTCTTGTCCTACTCTTGTGACCCCATGGATTGTACTGTCCGTGGTGTTTTCTTGGCAAAAGTACTGGAGTGGTTTGCCATTTTCTTCTCCCGTAGATTAAGGCAAACAGAAGTTAAATGACTTGCCCAAGGTTACATAGCTAGTAAGTGTCTGATGTTGCATTTGAATTCAGTTCTTCTTGACTCTAGGCGCAGTGCTCTATCCACCAAACCACCATATGGCCAATACTATTTTTTAGAGAGGGAAATAATCAGCTCTATTGATTGATACATGTGTACGATGTGTAATACCTGTGTACATCCCATTTCCACAAAGGGAATGTCCTCAAAACTATTGAGTCCTGCTTGTCTTTTATAATTTTACTACATTCACTTTTGATTTTTGTGTGTAATTCTTCTTTCCATTCACATTGTTGTAGCTACCATATATATTGCTTTCTTGGCTCTCTGCATCAGTTCATATAGGTCTTTCCATACTTCTCTGTATTCATCACACACATCATTTCTTACAGCACAGTAAATATTCTGTTCCACAGTAAATATTCATGTGCCACAATTTGTTTAGCCATTCTCCAATTGATGAGCATCTACTTTGCTTTCCAATTCTTTGCTACCACAAACAGTGCTATGTAAATGCTTTGGTATATTTGGAGACATGCTCACTGTTTCTTGGTGAAGAATGTGCAGAAGCAAACTCAAAAGTAGTGTTATGCTCAAAATGTTCCCTAACATATTAATCATGTTGGGATAAACCAAAAGGGACCCTTTCCCTTTTGCCACCAAACCAATGTTTTAATTTTGGGGTTACTTGGCTTGAGTATCTCAAATAATCCCTAAATCATTCCTGGTTTTTCTTCTGACAGAAAAGGAGGTCTTATAAATGCTCTGCTATAACCTCTTCCCGCAAAACAACTGCTACCACTATATTTCCCCATACTCCTTGACATAGCAAGGAATAATAAAAGTTAGAAGAATTCAGGAATTAGAATAAACAAAGTCATGCCATGTATTATTATTTATAGTTTATCAACACTTCCAAGCAACTCTTTGGAGCTCTGGATTTAATATCTCTGATTTAGAAGTCTGGTGGGATTCTCAAGGGTATTTTATTTTTTTAAATCAAATGAATAATTTTTTTAATTAACAAAAGTCTATTTAATCTTTCTCCCATCCCTCAGCTGAAAAAACAAAACAAAACAAAAACAAAACCCTGCAACAAATATGCATGGTCAAGTAAAACATGTGTTGTCCATGTTCAAAAATATAGTACATTCTGTACTTTGAGTCTGTCGTCCTTCTGCCAGGAAGTGGGTAACATACTTCAACATTAGTCCTCTGCAATTTTGGTTGGTCTTTGCATTAATCAGGATTCTTAAATTTTTGAAAGTTTGTTTTTACAGTGCTGTTACTATTATATAAATTGTTCTTCTGCTTCTGTTCATTTCACTTGGTCCAAGGTATTTTAAAACTAAGTTTGAGAAATAGTTGTATTATGATAAAATGAAGGGCTAAAGATTATGTTGTGGATGTTTGAGGTCAGAGACCCTTCTTCAATAAATTGGACTGCCCTTTCTTATTCTCCCCCCTCTGTTACATTGCTATATACTCCAGGTTCTAACATATAATTTCCTGGATGAAATGGGTCCAGATTTTCATTCCTGGTTCTTCCCAATCACTTCTTCTCTAATATTCTGTAAAGAGGACAGTGACCATTGCCATGATGGCAGCAGGGCATCAGCTTTGCCACTCCTCTGAGCCTCATTATTAAGTGCCTCTTTGAGGCTTATGCATGCTTTAAGGTAGTTTATGTGACCCTGGACTAACTGCTGTGGCATGATGAGAACTGAAAGATATTTATTCATCCCAAATGTGAGGCAACTAGGTGGCACAGTGGATAGAGTGGTGAACTCAGAGACAGGAAGATCCAAATTCAAATTCCCCTTTAGATAGTTGGGCAAATCACTTAACCTCTCTAAATCACAATTTCCTCACCTGTAAAATGGGGATAATAATAGCACCTAGTTACTAGGATAAAATGAGATAGTGAATGCAAGATTTTGCAGACTTTAAAGTGCCATGTAAATCCTAGCTATTATTATTAACACAAGAACGAGGGCTGGGAGACTTTCACACTCTGTATCTATGATCTAATGAGTCAAAAAGAAAAGGTTTATGTCAGCCAAACGACCCAGCCCTTTATCATGTGTCAGTTAGGGTGAGTGAATTCCTTCCACTCTTATCAAGCCCCTGGGAGCTAGCACATTAGCCAATCAGATTGCTTTGAAGTTTCACTATCTGAAGTAGGTCCTTAGCAACACTGGAGGAAGGATGGCAGAGTTGTTGACCTTTGCTCGTTCCTTTCCCCTTAGCAAAGTCTTCTGTTCCCCCTATAATTCTTTTGTGAACTTGGTAAGTTCTTTCTTTGTCATATGGTGTTTCCTTAATTAAACTGTTTGCTTGGTATTCAGATTATGGTATCTGTTTTGCAAATTTGGGGAGGCCATCTAGCTTTCACTTTTGCTGCTCTGATGTCTTCTTAAACTGCTACAATCTGACTTCTGACCTCATCATTCTACCAAAAGTACTCTCACCGAAGTCATCAATGATTTCTTCATTGCTAAATTCAATAGTCTTTTCTCAATCCTCATTCTTGACCTCTCTGCAGCCCTTGACACTATTGATCACCCTCTTCTCCCTGACATTTTTTTGTCTCTGGGTTTTTAGGACATCAATTTCTCCTGGTTTTCCTCGTAACTTTCAGACCACTCCTTTTCTAGATCTTCATTCAGATCACACCCTCCAGCCATAGTTCTTCCTCAGGGCTCTGTCCTGGGCCCACTTCTCTTCTCCCTCCATACTCCTTCACTTGGTGATCTCATCAGCTTTCCTGAATTTAATTATCATCTCTATGCTGATGTTT